AAAATTCTCAGTGGAATACTAGCAAATCAAATCCAATACTACATCAAAAAGATGATATGTTGTGATCAAGTGGGATTGATCCCAGAGATGCACTCAAGGGTGGTTCAATATCCACAAATCAGTAAGTGTCATAAATCACATCAATGGAATGAAAAACAAGAACCATATTGTCATCTTAATAGATGCAGACAGGGCATTTGGTAAGACTCAACATCCTTTCATGATAAAAACCCTCCACAAATTAAGTATAGAAGGAACATACCTCAAAATTATAAAGTCTATATGACAAACAAATGGTCAATATATTGAATGAGAAAAAGCTGAAAGAATTTCCCTTCTGATCTGGGAGAAGCCAAGGATGCTTACTTTTTCCACTCATAGTCAATATAGTATTGGAAATACTAGCAAGAGCAATTAGGGAGGAAAAAGAAAGAGTATAAAACCTGGAAACAAGAAAATCAAAATATCCATGTTTGCAAATGACATGATGTTGTACATGGAAAAAACATAAACACTTCACCAAAAAAACTTTTAGAAGTCATAAGCCAATGCAGTAAGGTTGCAGGTTACAAAATCAATATACAAAAACAGTTGATTTTCTATACATTAATGATGTACTCACCGAAAGAGAAATCAAAACAAAATCCAATTCACAGTAGCCACAAAAAATCAAATATTTATGTATAAATTTAACCAAAGAAGTTAAAGTCCCCTATGATGAAAATTATAAAACACTGATGAAAGAAATCATCAAGGACATACAAAAAAATAGAATGATATCCCTTGTTCATGGATTGGAAAAATTAATATTATTAAAATGCCTGTACTACCTAAAGTAATACAGAGATTCAATGCAATCCTTGGGAGGATACCAATGGCATTCTTTACAGAATTAGAAAAAAACAAGTCCAGGGGCCTGTGTTGTGGTACAATGGGTTAAGTCTCCCTCTGCAACCCTGGCATCCTATATGGGTAACATTTTGAGTCCTGGCAGCTCCACTTCTGATCCAGCTCCCTGCTGATGCACCTGGGAAAGAAGCAGAAGATGGCCCAAGTGCTTGGGCCTCTGCACCCATGTGGGAGACCCAGATGGAATTTCAAGTTCCTGGCTTCAGCCTGGCCCAGCCTTGGCCTTTGGACCCATTTGCAGAGTGAACCAGTAGGAGGAAGATCTCTGTCTCTTTCTCTCTTTCTCTCTCTCCCTTTTCTCTCACTTCATCATTCCTGTGCTCTGTAACTCTGCCTTTCAAATAAAATCAATAAATCTTTAGAAAAATTCCAAAATTCATATGGAATCACAAAAGACCCAGAATAGCCAAAGTAATCCTGAGTGAAAGCAATCAAGCTAGGGCCATCATTGTGGTGGAACAAGTAAAGCCGCCACCTGAGCATCCCCATGAGCACTGGTTCCTGTCCAAACTGCTCCACTTCTGATCCAGCTCCCTGCTAATGGCCTGGGAAAAGCAGTAGAAGATGGCCCAAGTGCTTGACACCCTGCCGCTCGTGGGAGAACTGGAAGCTCGGCTCCTGGCTTCAGCCTGGCCCAGCACCAGCCATTGCCGCCACTTGGGGAATGAACCAGATGATGGAAGCTCGCTCTATATTTCTTTCTCTCTGTCTCTGTAACTCTGCCTTTCAAATAAATAATTTAAAAAAAAAAAAAATAGCATGGCACTGGCATAAAACCTGACATATAGTTCAATGGAAAAAAATAGAGAGCCTAGAAATTAATCCATGTACGTATAGCCTACTGACTTTCGAAGAAGTGTCCAAGCCACAAATTGGAGAGAGAATAATCTCTTCAATAAGTGGTGCTAGCAAAACTGGATGTGTATATGTAGAAGAATGAAATTAGATTCCTATCTCTGACCATATACAAAAATCAACTAAAAATGGATCAAAGACCTAAACTTAAGACCTGAGACTATGAAATAGCTAGAAGAAAATGCAGGAGAACAATTTCAAGACATCAGTGTATGTGATGACTTCTTAGATAGGACCCCAAAGCACAGGACACAAAAACAAAACTAGCCAAATGGGATTATATCAAACTCAGAAGCTTCTGTACATAAAAGGAAAGATTTGGGTGGCCAGTGCTCTGGCATAATAGGCTAAGCCTCCGCCTGCAGTGCCAGCATCCCATATGGGCACCAGTTCCTGTACCAGCTATTCCTCTTCTTATTCAGCTCTCTGCTAATGGCCTGGGAGAGCAGTGGAAGATGGCCCAGGTGCTTGGGCCTGCTCACTCACATGGGAGAACCAGAAGAAGGGCTCAGTGCCAGCCATTGTGGCTGTTTGGGGAGTGAACAAGTGGACAGAAGACATTTCCTTCCTTCCTTCCTCTTTTTTTTTTTTTTTTTTTTGGACAGGCAGAGTAGACTGTGAGAGAGAGAGAGAGAGAGAGAGAGAGAGAGAGAGAGAGAGAAAGGCCCTCCCTTTGCCGCTGGTTCACTCTCCAATGGCCGCCGTGGGTGGTGCGCTGTGGCCGGCACACCGCGCTGATCCGAAGGCAGGAGCCAGGTGCTTCTCCTGGTCTCCCATAGGGTGCAGGGCCCAAGCACTTGGGCCATCCTCCACTGCACTCCCTGGCCACAGCAGAGAGCTGGCCTGGAAGAGGGGCAACCGGGACAGAATCCGGCGCCCCGACCGGGACTAGAACCCAGTGTGCCAGCGCCGCAAGGCGGAGGATTAGCCTATTGAGCCACGGCGCCAGCCCAGAAGACATTTCTTTTTGTCTCTCCCTGTATCTGTAACTCTGCCCCTCAAATAAATAAATTTAAAAACCTTTAAAAGGCAATAATTGATAGAATGAAAAGGCAATTTACAGAATGGGAAAAATATTTGCAAGCTACCTACACTGTATCAAAGAGATAACTGTACCACTACGTTAACAGCAGTACTGTTTACAACAGACAAAATATGAATCAACCAAGATGTCCAGAATCAGACGAATGAATAAAGAAACATATAATGTAATATTATTCAGCTATAAAAATTAATGAAATTCTCTTATTTGCATCAAAATACCTACAACTGGAAAATATTGAGTGAAATAAGTGGAACACACAAATACATGTTCTTTCTCATATGTGGGAGCTAAAATTTAAAAAAATCAAAAAACAAAAACAAAAAAGAAATGCTTGTATCAGTATTGCTGCAAATATGGTTTTATCAAGCTTTATTTTATATCACTGTCAAATTGTTATGAATGTTTTAATGATCTGAGATTATTCTTAAATTTACTGTATATGAGTAAAATTGACATCTTTTCATTTGATTATTATTTATAGCTCTTGCCTATATTCCTGCTAAACACGGTATTTTTACTTTTTACTTGTTGAACTTTTTATTTAGTGGAGCATTAAACCTTTAAATATAATGGAAGCTTAAAACTATGTTATCTTGTGTGGGTGCAAACTGATGAAATCTTTACTTAATATATACTGAATCTTTACTTAATATATACTGAATTGATCTTCTGTATATAAAGATAATTGAAAATGAATCTTGATGTGAATGGAATGCGAGAGGGAGCAGGAGATGGAAGGGGTGTGAGTGGGAGGGAAATTATGGGGGGGGGAGCCATTGTAATCCATTAACTGTACTTTGAAAATTTATATTTACTAAATAAAAAATTTAAAAAAAACTGTTATCTCAAAAATTAAAAGAGAGAGAGAGGAGAGAGAGAAAAATGCAAAGGGAGGAAGGGAAGTATCATTTATATTCTTAGAACTGTATTTATGAACTACACTAAATCTTTTCTCTTTATATCGCAATAACAATTTTTAAAAGTTTTATAGGGGCCAGTGTTGTGGCATAGTGGGTAAAGCCACCACCTGTAGTACCAGCAATCCATATGGGCACCAGTTCCAGTCCCGGTTGCTCCACTTACAATCCAGCTCTCTGCTATGGCCTGGGACAAGCAGTAGAAGCTGGCCCAAGTCCTTGGGCCCCTGCACCAACGTGGGAGACCAGGAAGAAGCTCCTGGCTTTGGATGGGCATGGCTCCTGCCATTTCGGCCATCTGGAGAGTGAACCAGCAGATGGAAGGCCCCTCTCTCTCTCTCTCTCTGCCTCTGCCTCTCTGTGTGCCTTTCAAGTAAATAAATAAATCCTCTTTTAAAAAAGTTTTATATAATGGGATGCAATTTATTGGTACTTTTTCCTTATGGTTTTGTGCTTTGTTTTCTGTTTTTAAAGGACTACACCTCAGATCGCCACTTAGCTTAGAGGTTGACACTGGTTAAGATTCCTGTGTCCCATGTTGGAATACCTGGGTTTGATCCATGGTTCCTGACTATAGCTTCTGCTAATGTGGACCCCTGAAGACAGTGATGGTAGCACAGGTAGCTGAGTCCCTACCTCCCATGTAGGAGACTTGAATTGAGTTTCTGGCTCCCAGACACTCTAGTCCCAGCTGTTGCAGACATTTGAACAATGAACTAGCAGATGGGTACCCCACCTCTAATAAACAAATAAAATTTAAAAATGAATAGACAACACCTCTCTAGAATTATAAATTATTCACTCATGCTTTTATCTAGCATTTCAATGTATTTTTTTTTCAAGGATCCATTTATTTATTTGAGAGGCAGAGTTACAGAGAGGCAGAGGCAGAGAGAGAGGTCTTCCATCTGCTGATTTACTCCCCAGATGGCTGCAATAGCTGGAGATGTGCTGATCCGAAGCCAGGAGCCAGGAGATTCCTCTGGGCCTCCCACATGAGTGCAGGTGCCCAAGCCCTTGGGCCATCTTCTGCTGCTTTCCCAGGCCATAACTGAGAGCTGGACTGGAAGTGGAGAATCCAGGACTCAAATTGGTACCCACATGGGATGCCAGCACTGCAAGCAGTGGCCCCACCTGCTGGCCCCAAATTTTTTTATATTTAGTATTTAGTTCACCTGTAATTTGTACATAAGAAACCAGGAAGAACATAGTTGATATATATACATATATATATATATAATTTACATATATATATTATATATTCAAGTGTTTTCTCAGTTACCATAATACCATTTACTTACTTGGAACAGATTTTAATCATCATCTAAAATCCAATAAACTGGAGTCTATTTCTTGGCTCTCTACTTTTCTGTTCTATCTATCTATCTTAGTTATTATGGCTCATGGTACATTTTAATTCCAGGAAAGCTATTCTCCTTCCATTATTCCCATTCCCTAAAAGTATATCGCCTTTTCTCACATGTCAGTTTTAATGAACCTAGAATCACACTGCTGTTAAATGCATCCTATTTGTATTTCAATTTTAGTTATCCTGAATTTATAAATTTAGAGATAATTTGTATAGCTAAATATTTAATTTCAGAAAGTGACAAAGATTATCTTTCGTAAATAATCAAATCTTCTGTATCTTTCAGTATTTTTAAAGTTTCTATCATATTGGTTCTGAACATTTCTTAAAATATTTTGTTTGGCTACTATGAAAATGGAAGCCTTCTTTCCATTCTAAATTGTTTTTTCTTTTTTATAGAATTAGTGATTCTTTTTTTCTAAAGAATTATTTTATTTTATTTGAAAGACAGAGTTACAGAGAGAAGTAGAGCCAGAGAGAGAGGTCTTCCGTCCATTGGTTCACTCCCCAAATGACTGCAATGGAGCTGCAATCGGAGCTGCACCGATCTGAAGCCTGGAGCCAGGAGCTCCCTCTGGGTCTCCCACACAGGTGCAGTGGTCAGCCATCTTCTACTACTTTCTCAGGCCATAGCAGAGAGCTGGATCAGAAAAGGAGCAGCCAGGACTAGAACCGGCACACATATGGGATGCTGGCACAGCAGCCTGGGGCTTTAACCCGCTTTGCCACAGTGCCTGCCCTAGAATTAGTGATTCTTAACATATTAGAGAGAGTTTATTGCTTCTTGTTAGAGATCTCATTAGATAAATTGTTTCGCACAGCTTTAATCTATTATTTTGGGTTTGTGAAATATAATCAGATTATTTGTAAGTAATGATAATTTCACCATCTTCTTTTTTTAAAAAAAAGATTTATTTATTTTTGTTTGAAAGTCAGAGTTACACAGAGAGAGGAGAGGCAGAGAGAGAGAGAGAGAGATCTTCCATCTGATGGTTCACTCCCCAGTGGCTGCAGTGGCTGGAGCTGCGCTGATCCGAAGCCAGGAGACAGGAGCTTCTTCATGGGCGCAGGGGCCCAAGGAGTTGCACCGTCTTCCACTGCTATCCCAGGCCATAGCAGAGAGCTGGATTGGAAGAGGAGCAGCCAGGACTAGAACCAGTGCCCATATGGGATGCCAGAGCTTCAGGCCAGGGCATTAACCCACTATACCACAGCGCCAGCCCCTTCACCATCTTCTTTCTAATACTACCTCTCCATTTTTTCTCTCACCTAATTCCTGGCTTGCATTTTCAAAGTAATGTTAACTTTGCTGTGTTTGTCTTGTTTCCAGTCTTAATTAAACCATTTCTAGTGCTTCACCCAAAAAATGATACTGGTATTTGCTATTAAAATATATGTAAATCCATCTCAGGTTAAGGACCAACTCACATCTCACTAAAGCAGAAAGAATCATGTGGTTTTCTATCCTATGATTTGCTATATTAATAGCTTTCTAAATACCAAGCCAACCCTATAGTCTATATAAATTTTGTATGGTCAAATTTTTTTTAATATTTTTGGCAAGGTACTTATTAATATTTAACTTATGCTTTTTATACTTACAATGATCAATAAGACTGGTCTTTTGTCCATTTTTCAACCCATTAAATGCTTTAAATATTTAAATAATTTATACCATTAAAAATTCTCCTAGATTTACAAAACTTTGGTTCTAAAATGACCATGAGCATGTCTCACTTGGTTAATCCTCCGCCTGCAGCGCCGGCATCCCATGTGGGCGCCGGGTTCTAGTCCCGGTTGCCCCTCTTCCAGTCCAGCTCTCTGCTGTGGCTGGGGAAGGCAGTGGAGGATGGCCCAAGTGCTTGGGCGCTGCACCCACATGGGAGACCAGTAGGAGGCACCTGGCTCCTGGCTTCAGATCGGTGCAGTACCGACCATAGTGGCCACTTGGGGGTGAAGCAACAGAAGGAAGACTTTCTGTCTCTCTCTGTCTCTCTGTCTGTAACTCTACCTGTCAAATTAAAAAAAAAAAAAAAAAAGGACTATGAGGCCACCCAAGCCAGGAGGGCTGCCCTGGAGGTACTCGAGCAGCCAGCATGATGAAGACCAGGAGGGGCAGGCAGGTAGCAAGGTGAGTTTACTGTCACAGGCATGAGAAAACCAAGGCCATGTTCAGGAACACAAAAGGCTCACGTTGCGCTATGCGTTTCTTTGGCGTTTTCTCTGGGGCTTGAGAGGCCAGGTAGGACTGTTTAATTCACTGTCCTTAAACTTGCTGTTGATATAAGGCAGTCAGTCAAGAATCAAGCCACCAGTCAGCAGCCCACTCCAGCTCCACAGTGCCCATGGCACCCCAGCTGCTATCCAGGGGGACCCAGCTCTCGGCCAGCTCCCAGCAGCATGGGCCCAGGCACTTGGTCAGCATCATGGTGTGGTTCTCACTCAATTCTGGTGTCCATGTTAAGATGGCAAAGAATATTTATTTTGGAAGCTTTTCTTCTTTTTGCTCTAGAAAGTTGAATTTGTATCAGATTTATCTATACTTCAATCACTTGAAAGACTTCATCTATGAATTCCTGCATTTTATTTTGTTTTAGGGAAAATAAACCATTTTTCATTTGTCTACCCTGGCAAGCTCCTTGCCACTGCTCCCTAGAACATCAACCTTTGGATCTGGCTGCTGAAAACCTTTTGAATAAAAGCTTGTTGTTCCATTTCCATGTCTTCTTGAATCTGGCTCATTGTATACATTCATATTGAGATCCATCAGATGAATATATTTATCTTGATATATTCATTCAAGATTTCTAGGTCTGGGCATCTTAGCTAGGTGTTTACTATCTGTCTCTTTTCATTAAGAACATTCCTGCCTGGGCTGGCTTTGTGACATGGTGGATTAAGCAACGACCTGCAACGCAGTCATCCCACGTGGGCACCATTTTGGGTCTCAACCGTTCCACATCCATCCAGCTCCTGGTTGATGCACCTGGGAAAGCAGCAGAAGATGGCCCAAGTGCTTAGGTCCCTGCACCCACGTGGGGGAGTTGGAGGAAGCTCCTGGCTCCTGGCTTCAACCTGGCCTAGCCCTGGCTGTTATTGTCATTTGGGGGAGTGAACTAGCAGATGGAAGATCTCTCTCTCTCCCTGTAATTCTCCACTCAAATAAATAAACACTTAAAAAAATTGTGGTTTTCACTGCGCTACCAGAGTAGGATGTTTTCTCCAATAAAGGCAAAGGTAGGGGCCAGCACTGTAGCATAATGGGTAAAGCTGCTGCCTCCAACGCTGCCATCCTACATAGGCATTGGTTCAAGTCCTGGCTGCTCCACTTCCAATCCAGCTCCTTGCTAATGTGTCTGAGAACACAGCAGAAAATGGACCAAGTCCTTGGGGCCCCTGCCACCTATATGGGAGACCTATAAGAAGTTCCTGGTTCCTGGCTTCAGACCAGCCCAGCTCCAGCAGCTGCAGTCATCTGAGGAGTGAACCAGCAGTCGGAAGATCTCTTTCTCTCTCTTTCTGTCTCTCTCTCTCTCCCTCTCTCTGTAAATTCTGCCTTTAAAATAAATCTTTTTTTAAAGGCAAAGGTAGACATTTGATGATATAAAACTGTCCGATTAGTGCTTTCTATCAGCAAAGAGTGACATTGATGTTCTCCCTGCCAGTGGTACATAACCTTTGTGGGACCATGAACCCTGTCCAGAGTCTAATGAATGCCTTGGATTTGTTTCCCTAGTAACACACACAAACATATACAACCATATCGGAGCTTCATAGATCTCCAACTTCAATGTAGAAGACAAGGCTTTTATAAACCTAGAAAAGATTTCTTTTTCCATTAGTGATTTGTTTCTAAATTTTAAGGATGAGAATTTTTTTTCTAATACAATTCTATAGAAAGCAAAACTTGAAAAGATGGTTTATAATTAATCACTGGTGAGCACGGAATGTGAATTGGGGTTTTGCTTCCTACACCCCAGAGGGGAAGGGTGTAAAACACACTGTGCCAGAGCAGCAGAGCCATGGCTGCTGGGAAAAGCATTCTGGGCAAGACCCTGAAATGCCTCTTTAGAGTGAGCTCTGCACCTGTTTCCCTGAGACCCAACAAAGGTCATAATGTTGGGCCAGTGTGGAATCCAACCTCTGGGTGCCTCTCGGAGAGGTTAGAGATGCGCAGACTCAGCTGAATTTCTTAGAGAGGATGACCTTCTGGCTCTGATTGCTTTTCCCTTTCTTTCTCTTTTAGGGGAACAAGTCCATTTGACACATTAACCCAAAACAAATGTCCAAATATCCCCCACTTTAGTTTTTTAGCATGTTCCTCATACTAGGTTAAATTAACACAGAAAAAAAAAAAAAACACAAAGAACTCAATGAGGAATCAGGGCTGTGGTGCACACCTAGCTCACCTGAACCCATCTGCAAAGCCCTCAGTTGTGCTCTGGTCCTGCCCATCCTTGGTTCTCCCAAAGTGCCCTGTATGGCCACTGCCAGAGGCTCAGAGTAGATTTTGTTATAGCCTGGTTTCTTGTCAATCCCCCTTTACCCATTTATCTCATCTCATACAGGTGCCTTTATGGGGATGAGGGTTCGTCTTGTCCAGTTTTATATGCTTAGCAGTCAGCCCAGGGCAGCTTGCTGATAAACATTCATGAAATACATCAATGAACTCTTGAAATCACAGCCCACACAAGGATGAACAGACCCTGTTGTGAGCAATCCTCCAAGGGTGAGAGGTCACAGAACTGTGTGGACTGGCTGGGTGGTGGTGCTGGTGTGGAGCGGGATGAGGGGACTGGGAAGGTAGCAGAGGATTCTGGGAAAAAGAGCTGGCTTTGAGGATCATCACACAATTTTCCAGACCAGGAAAGACAAAACGTGGCTGTAGATTCTCAGGTAGAAGAAAGTATACATCATGTTAATATCTAACCTCCAACTTCTGTCTCTAAACCTTAGAAACTTCTTTTCCATTCCACCCTAGCCTTTGTGGAAAAAAGAGTTTAAAGTTATGGTAGTCAGAGGATCTCATAAAATCTGCCATTAGAAAATCATTCTAGTAAATGTCTAGGCAACACTGAGCCTCACATGTGAGTAAATCATATGCAATTTTAGCAAAAGCACTCATTTATATTTATTGTGTTTTATCTGAATGATTTGATTTATAACTTCTACAAATCAAAATGCTCTGACACCCTCCTCTATGAAAAACTAACAGAAATATTTATGAAGAAAACAGGAAATACTAGAATATCATACTACATAGTTTCTTCTGACTTCCTACTTCACTAGCATAACTGGGGTTATTTTACTTAGAAACCAATTTTGAGAATATTAAGAATTAAACCTTAAAATTTTAACTCATAGGATCAGGGCTTGTTTTGGGATCAGGTTAGATAAGCACTGCTGATATGTTGCAAAAATAAATTATGGATGTATTAGTAAGGCAACAGGAAAACAATCAATTCACAAAAGGCTTCTGTATTATAAAGTCCAAGAAAAAAAGTAAAAGTAGACATCCTGCCATCTTCCTAAAACATCATAAGGCCGAGTTTCCAAGGTTAGGACTAGGAGTGAGGGCAAGGTCGAAGGCACGTGGCAGCGGCATGAAGCTGGTCTGATCAGGAAAGCTGGACTCTGACTCAGTCTACAGGAGGTCTCGTTTTCTCCCAACTGGAAGAAAATGGCTCTGAACTTTCCCATCCCTCCTAGATTGTTTAGTGGTAATCCTCTGTGTTGCGCAGCTAATGAAAAACTACAGTTAACGAAAAATTGCATTGTGGGACCACCTGCCACCCCAAGGTCGGCCTGAGAAGTCCTCCAGTGAGGGGCTATGTGGACTGTTGCCCGCCCCCTCCAGGATCTCCCTGATTGGGGTTTGACACAGCAGAACAGTGCCATCAATCCCAGTGGAAACAGAGTGGACCCTTGGTTTTCTGATGCTTCTTGATGCGTTTACAGTGAAATGGAGACTTCAGGTGGACACGCTGGAGGAAGAGGATCCTCTGGCCACTTGGGAAACCTTCACCCCCATATTGATGACGACGGATGCATGACGATGACACCAGAGAAGCAGCGAAACATCCGAGTCTCCAGGATGCTGAGTTCAGAGAAGCCCAGTGCCCCAGGGAGCTTTCTTTCCATTAAAAGTGCTTCAGATAAGAACATATGCAGATCCCAGGGTTGGCCAGTACTCACCTACGGTATCAGTCCTGGCTGGGGACAGTGAGGCGCTCTTCTCTCCTGCCCCAGGCTTGGGCCAACAGGCCAGTTCCATCCATGAGCAAGGCCCATCCGTGGTTGCTGAAGGATGGCTTGATACGCCTGGCAAGGAGCCTCATTACATAACTTGCTGTGATGGCAAAGGCCAGAGCTGCACGTGGATGGTTTCTCCTGAATTGGCTCCATTCTACTTCCTGGCCCCTTCCTTCTCTGTCGTGTGCTCTGGTCTAATATTTTTTTCTGCCTTGAAGTGTAACCTTAGGCACTAGCAGATGCCTATCAGGACCTGTTTGGTTTTTTGAGGCACCTTCTTTTGAGCACTAGTCATAAAAATGGGCCTGGAAGCGGGCCAGGGTAGGGGTTACTGACACACTGCGGATACTTCTAGAGATCTCCACAATCAAATTCTTACCCCGCTCACTAAAATGGCAGTAGGGCTAGTACAGGAAACCAGCGTCAACCCTGCTCAGAGCCCGCGGTCCTCTCCCTGCCCCTGTGGCCGCCCCGCCTTTCACGGTAAGCCCAGCCGGGGGTCCAGTCTACTGGACAGCTCAGGACGGAGGCGGCCAGGCTCCAGGCTCCTGGGGTCTGCTCACTTCACTGCGTAACACCCAGACCTCAATCAGCTGGTTTCCAGAGCACTGCAGAACCGATCCACAAAATGGCAGAAGCGCGCCTTCTAAGAGTCAGAGTTCTTTCTGAGTCATGCCTATTTCAGTTCAAACGCTTCCCCTCTTTCTTTGAACACAGGGAAAACAGGAGCCGTTTTTACTTCCACTTGTGTGAAGAGTCCCCACTGATTTTTGTTCAGCCTCCCCTAGTTGGTCATTTTTAATTAATGTGAAAAGGAAAAGCAAGGACACTCCTATATGATTTCAGCCTAATCAGGTGTATTGAGAACTAGCTAAAAAGTATCACAAAGCTAAAAACTAGATTGTAATGTAGGAAACGAAGGTATGCATTCCAGTGGCACCGAACAAAGCCACAAAGTAGGGAACAAATGATGTAATTTTAGGCCTGGATCTGCACCTAGTGCATTGTTTGACCTGAGGTTATATATGGAGGCTCTCTGGATGCAGTGACCTCATGTGACAGATGGAGGGATGAGAGATTGTAGTCTTTTCTAAGCCTACTATTTCATACTGCCATGACTAAGATCAATCTGAGACCGTAAGTTTTTATTTCATTAGTTATTTATAAGCCCCAACAGAAATGAAAACACAAAAGACTATAAATATTTAAAACTGAAGAATTAAAAAATACATTGCAAAGGAAGACTTACTCAGAGCTATTATGCATATCTGTATTAGAAACACTTGATCATCTAGGCCAAACTCTAGAGTTTGGCATTTTTCTAACAAACAAGAAAGCTGCAGATTCATAAGGCTGACCTGAGGCCCTGTTCTTCACTATTTTCAGTTGTATCCGTCTGTGTCTCTACTTAGAATGCATCTATCAATATATCTCCATAATCGTCTCACACACACACACACACACACACACACACACACGAGCGAAATAGGAAAATAAAGAAGCATGGAATTAGGTCTGACCAAAGAAGAAGGAATGAGACTGTGAGACTTACTGGAGCTGCTGAGTTTTTCACCGTGACGCTGGGGGTGGTAGCTCTCAGGGCGCCACTGACTCCATGGTAGTATTTGAAGCAGATCTTAGTTTCAGCTGAAAGACGGAAATAAAATAGGACTGAGATGTAGGGATGTCGGGTGTAATCCGGGAAGTGACAGACAGGGCCAGAGAGGTTGTCTCCAAGAACTCCAATTTAATTCCTCCCATGAGCCAGATAGGCCACGGGACAATGATAGCCTACATATGGCCTCATGGGCAAGTTTGACTTCCTCCTATAAATGTGTCATGAAAAATTGTTTGGCCTTAATGTTTTTGCCCTCGAGTGAAACCCATTATTTAGACTCTCCACTTACTTTCTATTCCACCGGCAGCCACTGCTTTCTAACAGTTTTAAAATTTTTGGGTGATCTGACATGGACCACCTGTTTGTAGCTTTGTAATTTCCTATTATTTAATTAGCTGGGGTGAATGTCTTGGTCATTTGAAAGAAGACTTTGTGAGAAATGATTGAAATTTATGAATGGGAGGCATGGTTTTTATCTTCTAAGTTCCTATACACATCAGTGACTCCTTCTTTGCACCACAAATTGTTTCCTTTCAAAGTTCTGTAGATGGAAAGCAGACAAAGGTACAGCTTTGGGGAATCCTGTTGCCTGGGTTTAAATTTCAGCTCCACTGTTCACCCTATTCCGAAGTGCAGAATAGGACTAACACTACTGTAAGTATCACAGGATGCTGGTTAAGAAAACAGAAGTGCTCTGAGTTCAAATAAACACTCAGTAAATGTTGGTGACGGTGCCGATGTGCTGAACAGTGACGTGACTCCATCACCTCCTGGCATTCCATTTTGTAGAAAACAGAACCCATAACCACCATGACTTCAGTCAAGTTAAAGGTGACCTGCTTTTCACAATTCACTGTTCACAGAATTTTTTTTTTCTTAAAATTTGAAACTTTCTTAGGTGATCCCTTTCCCCCCTTGTATTAACTTTGCTTAGGAAAACATGAAGAATCTCTGATTTGAGATCCCATTTCTCAAATAGGCAAATAGTGTCTACAATGTTCTTAGCACAAATTCAAAATATGTCTATTATGGGAAATATGGAAGATGAAGTATAAATAAAAATCTGTTTTTTTGTGTGCTTGAGAGTATAGACTTTATAAAACTATGGTTAGCTTTTTAAAAAAATAACATTAAATATACACAGTCAAATATTGTTTAAAATTTAGATAACATTCCTTATTCTATGGTATAATTTGATAGATTTATAACCTGTAAATCTAAGTTTTACCCTGAAAATAATTTTTTTGCAAATGATTTTTTAAATTCAAGTTTAATTCCTAGGATAATGGAGCAAAAATTACCAGCTGTCTGCCCAACACCCATTCTCCCTTTCCTTCTTAATAACAAAAACCTCAATTTTATTTTGGATGATAATGTCTAGCTAAAGTATTGCATTTTGTGGCCTCTCTTGCAGATACATTTATGTTGTTTTCCATTGTTATTTTGGGATTTCTGCTATATGTAGCTAACCTAAACCAGACTAATAAAGTTTCCACAATGTACAAGATATGAATATTGCAATATTCTTTTTTAGGTTAGGAGATATGAATATTTTAAGGATTTTCCTTTCCTGTGGCCAAATTGCTTTCCAAATAGCACTTTATACTTCCCCTAGAAAATGTAACTCAGATCATTTCATAAAACCCTTAACACTGAGCATTATAGACCAAAAAAGCTTAAAATAGAATCTCATTATAATTTTATTTGATTACTAGTGAGACTACACATCTTTCCATCAACTTTTAGTTAGATATGAGAATTTTTTTAATCTATTGAGCTGTAGTTGTGAAGACTTGCCACTGTCTGAGAGATGTCTGTGTGCTCACCAGTCTCTCTTTGAGTGGATACATTCTTACTTTAGATGTGTTTGCTTTAGGAGTCATTCTTTTCCTAAGGTTATTTTTCATATTTGTTGATTGCCTTGTCGTTTTAATGGGCAATTTGATACTGACTTTCCATACCTATTCTTCAAGACACCTCATGGCTCTCCCATGTTAGGTCTACACACCCAGATCTATACTGCCTCAGCCTGGAGAGCAGGTTTCTGGTAGGTCAGGAACCATGGGGGAACCTTGAGTACTGCAGGGAGACAGACACTTGTACATCTTGTCCATCACAGTGAGTCTGTGCTGTTCAGTATGTGAGTGACCGTACTTGCAGGTGTTGGGGAGAGTAGCACTAAGGAGACAAATGGCCTCACCTTAAGCTTGGTTGGGTAGAGAGAACTTTTGGATGATAGGCATGGTGAGCCAGTAGCAGCTGTTATTTCAATGCCTTTAAGTCAAAAGGTCAGGGAAATTATATACAATCTTGTGGTGAATTCTATTGCCAATGAGCAGACGACTACATGTGTTGAGCTAAGGATTCAGGGAAACTTTTAAAGTGTAGTGGTACTCTGCTGAGAAGTTTTGGGAGAAGGTTATCTGCCTTCCTACCTGCCTGCCCTCTTTCCAGCTAAGATACTGCTTATTTGAAAGGCAGGAGTGAGGGGAGAGATGGGGGGTGCAGTGAGAATTCACTCCCATAGGCAGGTTCACTCTCCAAATGCCCACCATGGTTGGTGCTAAGCTAGGGCCACAGCTAGGAGCTGGGAATGCAATCCAACCCCCCATGTGAGTGGCAGGTACAGAGATGGAGAGACAGAGATCTTCCATTCACTGTCTTACTCCTTAAATGCCTACAGTAGCCAGGGCTGGGACTTAATCTAAGTTTCTCATGTGGGCAGCAGGAACATAATTACCTGAGTCGTCACCTGCTGCCACCCAGAGAATTCATTACCAGGAATCTGGAATCGGAAATGTTGCGGGGACTTGAACCCAGGTACTGCAAAATGGAATGCAGCCATCACAAGTGCCATCTTAACACCTACAACAAATTCTTGTTCCAACAACTTGAATTTTTAGATGGATTTTCCTTTTCTTTAACATGAATACCTCTGTAACTTAAATAATTTCCCTTTTAAACTTGAAAGAGGTATTAAATCATTTAAAAGTTCTGTCTTATTTAGAGATGGAGTATGAAGGAAAGACATCCATAAATGTTCAATGCAATAAGTCGACATATAAATAATTTATTGTATGGCTTTTAAATGTTTTCATTCATTGATTTATTTATTTGAAAGGCAGACAGGAATCTCTCATCAACTGTTTCATTCCTTAAATGCCTGCATCAGTTGGGGCTGGTGCAGGCTAAGCTAGGAGCCAGGAACTCAATGCAGATCTTTCACAGAGGTGGCAGAAGCACATCTACCTGAGTCAGAAGTGTGGACTTGAACCCAGAAACACTGACATGGGATGAGGGCAGCCCTGGTGGCCTCTTAACCCCCCAAACCCACCCTTATCATATGGCTTTTTTACAAAAATGTCTTCATTCCACAAAATCTCATGCTATTTTGCTCTTTTATTTTTTTTTTTATTTTGACAGGCAATGTAGAGTGGACAGTGAGAGGGAGAGAGACAGAGAGAAAGGTCTTCTTTTTGCCGTTGGTTCACCCTCCAATGGCCGCCACAGCCGGCGCACTGCGGCCGGAGCACCGCGCTGATCCGATGGCAGAAGCCAGGTGCTTTTCCTGGTCTCCCATGGGGTGCAGGGCCCAAGCACCTGGGCCATCCTCCACTGCACTCCCTGGCCACAGCAGAGAGCTGGCCTGGAAGAGGGGCAACCGGGACAGAATCCAGCGCCCCAACCGGGACTAGAACCCGGTGTGCCGGTGCCGCAAGGTGGAGGATTAGCCTAGTGAGCCACGGCGCCGGCCCTATTTTGCTCTTACTCTGTTGATCATTATTACATTAAATTGATCTGTTTATCTCAACACTGAGTTTTTCCAGGAGAAAGACTGGGTACTATTTATCTTTATATTTCCAGTGTCATGTAATACAGAGAACCTCTATACATAGCTGTTGAAAATTGATTTATGAACTATTGGTTTCATTTGATTGACTCCACTGCCTCACTGTTAACCCACAGTGTCCTGGTGGGTCCTAATTTCTTGATACAGAACACATAATTTTCTATGTCCTGATGTTGCATGACTTCATTCAAGTGTAGATAAAGAAATTATCATAGATAGCTATTATTGCTTTCTCTGAGAAAAGTATCAAGGCTCAAAGATCAAGAACTACTAAGAGGTTGTTAGTTATTATTTCTGATACTTTGTCCCAGGAGATTTACTATAGTTTTTTCTCTGCATTTCCAGGTAAAGTGATAATTCAAACATACTCTCAAAACTTGAATATGACACATCCCTTCTACAGGGGTTTCACTATTTTTTGCAGTAGTTTTGTGTGTTGTTATGGAAGTTTAGAAAGGCAACATGATCTAAAAACAAAGAAGAGTGTGGGATCGAATAGAAAAATTCTGACTCCCCTCTCATTAGTGGTGTGAGTTACTTTAACTCTCTGAGACTCAGTCCTAATGCAGAATGGCAATGCCATGGCCCACCTGGCAGATGTTGTTTCCTTTATAATTGTCATACAGAACCAACAGAATGATGCAGAAAGCGTACTACACATTAAGTGGGCTGTCTTCCTTAGGATCAACAGGGATATCTTGTATAGTCATTTGGAGATGTCCTACATACATGCATCCAGTCAGATTCAGTGATGGGTTGAAATTCACCCCAACTCAACTCACTAGAGTGTAGTTCTTGCCTTCCAGAAGAGGTTTATATCCTAACCCTTTGTAGATTTGTGGCAGCTTTGAAACAGATCTCCCAATATCATTTTGATTAATTCTGTTTAGCACATAAATTATTCTCAAATTTGAGCAAGGGTGACAAGCTCATGCACAAAGCAGAGCCAAACTGATGTTCTGACCTCTATGAACATGTATATTAGCAACTATAATCTTTGTTTTTGAATATTTTAAAAATGTCTTATTATTGGGGCCAGCACAGTAGCATAGCAGGTGGAGCTGCCACCTGGCATCCCATGTGGGCGCCAGCTCGATTCCCAGCTGATCCATTTGCAATCCAGCTCCCTGCAAATTATGCCTGGGAAAGCAGCAGAAGATGGCCCAAGTCCCTGGGCCC